GGATTATTAATTTTAATTACGTTGTTATATGTATAGTTACTTGTGAAGTGTCTTATAAAATAATTGTTATCAGTTTACTGTTCTTCTACATTGTAAAAGAAAAATTGAAAAATAAATAAATATAAATTTATCACTTAGCTTTGTCACGGAGGACAGAGGTAATTGCTCCTGCGAGTTTAGAAGTTTCACCTCCTTTTTTCACCACAAGGAGAACCTCTTTTTTTAAGGTTCTCCTAATTCTTAGAACCTCGGTGCCGTTTTCTTCTGGTTTAACCGAAGTTTTCATCAGCTTCAGGATCTCGACATAGGACTCTGGGTTCAATGCCGAAATCCTAACAGCCTCCGTGGTTCTAAGTTTTGTGGGGCGCTTCTTTAATTCGCTTTCCTCTTTCTTCTTTGAGGTCTTCTTCTTTCGAGCATCTCTCAGTTCTTATTGGCGACCACCTTGAAGCCGCCGCCAACAACTACAGCATTTTCTTTGCTTACCACTGCATAGGTCTTTTTAGTTGTCTCTTTTGAGACAACCTCTTGCTGAAGAGTCTCCATTGCTGGTGTATCAGCAGAAACCTCCTACCGCTTGACTCTCTTTTCTTCTTGAGACACAAGCTGAGAGCTCATCTCCGGACTTCCACAGTCTCTTTGACTCTTTTTGGCGTCACTAGTGCAAAGCCGCTTTTCTGCATTCTGCTTCTGATGCACGGGCGTTCCAGGACTCATCCTTGGTTGGTCCTGATTTAAGAAGGGATCCGATACAAACCGCAGATTCTTGCGTACTATATCAAATGCCCTCCTCAGGGCCACAATACCGTCCTGGACGTCCCTGCTTATATTTTTCTGTTTTTTGCAGGCATGACGCATGCCCTCCAACACTTGCGGTATCAACTCCAACTGCTTCCGAACATTATCTTCGCAGTTGCTCGTGGTACTGTCCCTTCCATAATTGATTTGGCCACCCCCAAAATTTGGCCTGCACTGACTACCGAGGCTTTCACCCGATCAGAATCAGTGGGAGTATTGTCCCCTTGCGGGGTTCCTCTTTGGGTTAAAACACTAATTTCCCTACTCATTTCGTATAGAATTTTTGGATTATTTGGTCAGGGAACCACCCTGGTTACTGGTTGTCCTTTAGTAAAAAGCCCCACCACCACGACAAGGTCTACCCAGAATTTACACGATTCTTGGCAGTGGACAACCATCGGCAGGGAAATTTAATAATTTAAATATAACTCTAAGGAAATTTAATTATTTTTAACTATTCTAATAATATTCTTTGAAATTTCATCTATATGAAACCATTTTTCAATTAAAAATGATTTTCAAATTATTGTATTTTGTCCGCATTTTCTAATAAATTTTCAGTGAAATCATCTAAAATTTTAATTACAAAATACTTAAAGTTTCAATTAATTTCAAAAATCTCAATTTTAAATCTTTGAAAATTCAATTAAATTTAAAAAATGTTTTCCAAAAATTGTTTGATAAATTATTTTTAGTTCTGTAAAATTTAATAATTATTTGAAAATTAACAATATCTTTTGAAATTTAATTATTTCTAAAAATTTCAACTTTAACCCTTCGAAAAGGATTATTATTAAAAAAAAAAATTTTTTATTTAAAAATCTGTAAAATATTTTTGTTAAAATAAAAAACAAATCCACTTTTTTTGGAATATGAATCGACTAAAACGACTTTTTGTGTCTTTAAGTTGATTCGAGGCCTGTGTTTTTATAATTAATATTTAATAGGTATTCGTTGGCCCCTGGTACCTTTAAAATATTTAAAATATTTTAAAATTTTGTACAAATTAAGATACGATCAAATTTAATTATTCTGGCAAACTAATTATCGGCTAAATAAAATTTCTGATGCAACATTGATAATCGGTTTAATGAAAATTGTGCCAATTAATATAATATAAAAAATTTTAAATTCTGCAAAAATAATATTCAACAGAATAAGATTCTATTAAATCATAATTCTAAAAAATTTATTTTAGAGCTTTTTCATGAGTCTCGTTTATCAAACTAAATTTTATTAATTTTTTCTATTCAGAGTTGTTGAATGATAATTTTTTATTACTGTTTCACGAACCTTTTTTTTATATCGATTCACTTTTTTTACACGTGCCTTTTTATTGCTTTAAAATTTTTAACATTTATTAAATTTTATTAAAAATGTTATTTTTTGGATTAAAAAATTGTTATAATAAATGTACATATACCTATTTAACTCTTTGAGGACCAGTGTTGCTTTCCGGCAACATGAACATTTTTTTTGATATATGTCATGCATGAGTTCCTTGATTTTTAAAAATAAATATTGCACGAATGTTTTTCATTTAGTCTAATAAAGTTTTTCAATTCCAAACTCTGGTTTTGAGACAAAAAACCTTAATCATTATAGTTTCGCTAAAAATTTGTTTAACCCTTTAAAGTCCAATGTTGCTTACAGGTAATATTATGCAAATTAACCAAAGAAAAAAAATTTTTAAGTTTTAAAAAAAAGTTAAAAAACATAAAAAAAAGAAAAAGAAAACCCTAGCCACATGTTTACAGCCTTTAAAAAAAATTTAGGTCATCTCAAATTAATTTGGGACTGAAAGGGTTAAAATGATATCACAGCATAAAAATTTTAGAACCGACAGCAATTTAGAAAAATAATTAACCAGACATTCGATTTGATCGAAAGGTTGTCTCGTAGAATATTAATTTTGAAGAATATTAATTTAGAGGAATTTTAATTTTGCACAAATTAAGATTTGATCAAATTTAATTTCTGGCAAATTAATTTAAGTCTTTATAGGTAAATAAAAGCGACTGGTTGAAAAAGCTAAAGAGGGTCTAGTTCGATTTAAAAAATTAAAAAAAAAAATAGAAAAAAAATACTTTTTTGATTATTTTAATTAAAGCAAAATAAAATTTGTTTTCACACAATTACCCTTTAAAAACTGAAATTAACATATTTTGAAGAGTTTTAAAAACTTTAATAAAATTAGAGCAATTTCAAAATTTTTTGATATTTTAATTAAATTTTAAGCCCTACTTTGAATCCAAACACAAAAAAATAAGGAAATTTGCACAAAAATTTTCTTCAAAAATATAAGATCATTTATCAGGTGATAAAGTTGTCACTCGGTTGGTGAATATAAAATAGAATCTATCAATCTTTGAAAAAAAAATTGATAGATTCTATTTTATAAATTTTTTTAGTTTTATAAAACAATCAATTTTTTTTTTTACAAAAAATTTTATTTCTTATCAAATTTACATATTTGAAGAAAATGAAAAGAATGTATATGTAATTTTAAAATTTTATCAAATTCTAAATAAAGAAAATCAAAGTATATATTTTACAATTATTTTTTTAATTCTCATTGGTTCATTCTTATCCCTACTACTTTCTCACATCTAATACAGTCACAAATAATATTTTTTTATTCATATCAATGATTTCAAAATTTTTGTCATAAAAAAAAATATAAAAATGCAAGCAATAATAATTGTTTTTAAACCTTTCAATGTTCATATATTTTTTATTTCTGAAAAATAAAAATCCATAGATAACAATATTTAGTAAACTTTTAAATAAAGGCAAAATAATTTCCTTTTTATCTTTTAATGAGTTTAAAACTTTTCTATTTGAAAAAAATTAAAGTACAGTCAAAATAATATTTCTTCAAATTTTTGTAATAAGTTTTACAACTTTTTTTTTTTTGATAAATTTCATCGAAGTCTTAAAGCGATTTTTGAAAATTTTGGGATTTACAGGACTTTTAAATTTTTTTTTGAAATTTTGAAAAATTTATATCTCAAAAAAACGAATTGATTTTAATGATTTTTTCAGGGAATACGTATTATTAGCTAACAATTTAGAAAAAAAATTTACAAAAAAAAAAATTTTTTTTTTTAACAAAAAAAATTAAAAATTATTGTTTAAACAAATTTTTCTTTGATAAGCGTATCTTTAATTTTTTTCTAATACTTATATTTCGATTCCTTATGATCTCACGAGTATTTTCATAAAAAAAAATCGATGGAGACTCTTAAACTTTCCGAGATATTGAATTTTTTGTCTTTTCGCGCAGCGGCGAACTGCGCTTTCAATGCTAGTCGCTATATGCAAGCTGCTGTTCAAAAGTACTAATAGCCCGTAAATTTTAACAGAATTGAATATTTCCTCTTGGCTAATGATCAGTGATAAATATAAGACAAATCGGTTCGTTTTTACTGCTTAATTATTAATTATTTATATTTTTAAATAAACAAATAACACATATTTATTGAATTCTTAAAAATTATTTTTTTTTACGAAATGTAACAGCAAAAACAATTGATAAACTTTTCCAAATGATTTAAACTTTGTTTTAAGGATAAATCCATTTTGTTTACATTAAAAAATAATTGTTATAAACAATTATTTTAAACAAATTTTTTTAAATTTCATATATTTTTTTTAGAAATTTTACTGTTCTTATATAAAAATTTTTAATAATTTCCCTAATCTATCAACTTAGGTACTATAAAATTGTTTTTCATGATAAAAAAATTGTTATAAATAATTTTATAAAAAATTAAATTAACTTTTGTTTCTTTTTCAAGTTTTTCAAAAATCGCTTTTAGACTTTTCATTAGCATGTATTTCACTACATTTTCCCAAAGTTTCATCGAAATCGAAAACCTAGGGGACAACTTTGATTTTTTAGGCATGATTTGACCCAACTATGATATGAATCCAGCTTTCTTGCAAATAAAAAGAAGACTTGAAAAAATCGGTTTTTGTTTATTAAATCATATATTATTTTATTATTACCTATACATATATTTATAATCTCGTTTATAATATAAAATTCATCGTATATGATAATAATCATTGGTGCATTTATTTTTATCTAGAGTTATAAAAAGTAATGTAATTTATCATTGAAAGACTATTGATACACGTTTCACATATTGCTTTTTTACAGCTATATTAAAAAAAAAACATTAAAAGTGTCGGTATGTAAAGCAAGAGTTTTAGAAATTTTTCAAAATTTGTAAAGTTCAATTTCAATTTGAAATGAGAAAAATGTATAAATATTTTAAAAGTTTATTCCTTATTATTAGCTGCTCATTTGTAGTAATAAATTCTGCTATTATTCTAATGGTAAAAGTTTTAATATAATAAAAATTAAGAAATCATATTTTAAAGTAAATATAACTATAGAATTGTGTAAATGCATTTAATCAAATTTCTTGTTATTAAAACAAGAATGTTAATCTCTTTATGAGAAATAAATAAAATATAAAAGCATTTATCTCTTTTAACAATAAAAATACCAATTAGCTTTTATTTATGTCACTTCAATCATTTTAACATAAAAACATTATATTTATTTAAAATAACATATAACACATAGAATAGAACTATTTTTATTCTTGTCGAAAATAAAGTTTTAAACTTTGTATTAAAATTTAGAAATTATTATTTTGCTTGTAAATTTAATTTATCAAAAAAAAAACGTTATTTTAAAACTCTTCTAAAAAATTCGAAGAACTATTATTTTGACTGTATTTTAATGTTTTCAAAAAAAAAAATAGTTTTAGACATATGTTAAAAGATATAAAAAATTATTTTGCCTTTATTTGAAAGATTATTATTAAATATTGCGTTATCCTTGGATTTTTATTTTTCTGTAATAAAAACGATTATTTTTTTTATTTTTGAAAATATTTATAGGAACAGAAAATTAGAGAGAAATATTTTATTACTTTCTATTCAAATTTCGGTATCATAAAAAATTGTGAAAAAACTAATGACACCATTAAAAACTTCTTCAATCCTACACTTGAAGAGATTATAAACCTTGAAAAATTAGAAGAATTAATAAATTTTGTCACTGGTATAAAGGATAAACCATGTACAAACGAGGCTAAAAATTTAACGATAGAGGAAACCAAAATTTGGGTTAGTTATAAAGAAAAATAAAATCTTAATATAAAAAAATAATATATCACCACCTTTAATTTATAAAATTAAATATTATTTTTAAAATGCAAAATTACTCTCTAAATCTGAATCAGTCATATTTCACTGATTAGCAGTAGAAATTAAAAGCTAAACCATATGCCCTAACTCAGGGGTTTTCGGGGTCGCTGATTACAAGTTCGATGTCAGTTTATCAAAATTCAAAATGGCGGATTCAATATAGCGGACGAATTTTGAATAAACTTAACGTATTTAAAATAACTCTTACACTGAGAAAAATGTTTAGTCAGAGCAACCGCAAAATTTGGTTGGGCCAACAAAAGAATTTTGTTGGTATTTAAGCAACCAAACTATTTGTTTCATTCAACCAAAAAAATTTGGTTGAGTATTTTTTGATGGCATAACAAAAATGTTTGGTTGATCAAACAAACAGTTTTTTTTGTAAAATTAAAAATTTTATTCCACCTTATTTCTTTTCTTTTTATCTATTTTATTTATTTCATTATTTATTTATTATCATTTTAACATTGAATTTATATTTAAATTTATCCAATTGAAATATTTGTGGACTTTGAAAAATCTCATCTCCGTCTGGGATCGAACCTCTGTTTTAAAACTGAAGGTCGGAAGCTCTAACCACAGGACTACCCATCCATGTGAGAGATTTAAATTAACTGTATACTCTTAAGCTATGAGCTGAAAGCGAATCAAATTATTTGGTTGTCGCAACCAAATTTTGGTTAGGACAAAAAACGATCATTTAGTTTTTTAAACCAAACTATTTTATTGTGTTAACCAAATTATTTTGTTGTCGTAACCAAATTTTGGTTGCAATTTAAAAATGTTCAACCAAATAATTTTGTTGGCCTAACCAAATGTTTGGTTGAGATAACTCTATGACTTTGTTTCAGCCAACCAAAATTTTGTTACAAGAACCAAAATTTCCTAACCAAACAATTTGGATGCAAACACTAAATTTTTTTTATCAGTGTAAGAAAGTAGTTTTCAATAATTTTAAAGTAAATTTTAAATATTCTTCTATTTTAAATTTTGAGAAACTAACATCAGATTCGTATAATCAGCAACCCCAAAAACCCCCCAGTAAAAAGTTTCAGGCGATTCTAGGCATATTTTATTTTTGGTACTTTAACCCTTTTTAACCTCTCTAAAACCCCATTTTAACACTATATCCGCAAAAAACAAAGAATATGCTCTACTCAAAATAATTATTAAATTATTATTCCTTTATATAAAGTACTTTAGAATATGTTTGATTGTAAAATTCGCGGTCCGAAAAATTTTGGCCTTAATATTTGATATATATTTTTATTTTATTTTTTCCTTTTAGGGCCTTCTCGTTGAAGACCGATTGAAATATGCAAGTATTATTTATACATATAAATATTTCTTAACTATTAATGTGTAATTTAAACCGATTTTTCTTCAATATAGTATTAAATAAAATTAAAAAGAACAATAATTTGTGATTGTATGACACTTATTATTGTTTGTGTTCCTTTAGTGACAGAGGAACATCTACTGGAAAACCAACCCAGGTGCGAATTTAGGGTGGCTGTCAGAGTTTGAAGGTTGACCCAAAGTTGGCTTAACTTTGGCATCCAGAGTTACGGTTGCCAAAGTTTGTCCAACTTTGGCAGTTACATTTGGCCATAGTTGGCCCGACTTTGCAAGCCAATTATGGCAAGCGGATTTCGCCAACCATCGGGCCAACTTTGGACCAAAGTTGGTCCGACGGTTGGCAAAACTTTGGGAAACGTAGTTTAAACGACTTAAAATTTTTGGTTGGCCTAACACTGGGTGATGGTTGGCCCGACAGTTGGTAAAACTTCGGGGAACGTATTTTAATCGACTTCAAATTTTTAGTTGGACAAACTTTAGGTGATGGTTGGTCCGACAGTTGACAAAACTTCGGGGAACATAGTTTAAACGACTTAAAATTTTTGGTTGGCCTAACACTGGGTGATGGTTGGCCCGACGGTTGGCAAGACTTCGGGGAACGTTGTTTAATAAACTTAAAATTTTTGGTTGGCCACCCATTTGGAAAGATTCCCCGAAAAGTGCCCCCTGGAGGTTCTATCAGAATTCCGCCGAAACTTCCAACGTAATTCCGTCGGAATTCCATCGGAGTTCCAAAGAATTTCCGATGGGATTCCGACGGAATTCCGATTAATTTTTTTCAAAATTTTTAGAGTCCTAATTCCGTCGGAATCCCGGCGGAAATTCTTTGAAACTCCGATGGAATTCCGACGGAATTACGTTGGAAGTTCCTGCGGAATTCTGATAGAACCTTTCCGGGGAATCTTTCCAAGTGGGCAAACACTGGGTGATTGCTCTGTTCCTCAAATTTATGTTTTTTCAGTTGCAACCTTTAAATGCATTTTTTTTTATAATCCCATATAAGCATAGTATAATGGTTAGCGAGCGTTAAATATTTTCGAAAATGTATGTAAGCGATTGTGTTTAATTATAATAAGTATGTAGATTATATGTAGTGTCTCCGATAATAATAATAATAATGTGTTAATTGTATAAGTAATTTAATTTTTTAATTATTTTTTAATGGTTGGCCCTAGTTTGGGATCAGTTGTCGGGCCAACCATCGTCACAAAAGGACAGTAATCCGTTATCATGTGTATGGTTATAGGCACCAACCAATGGCACGAGAAGTTGGACCAACTTTGGGCCGACCAAAAATTCGCACCTAGAAATATAATTTTAGATTTGGAAAAAATTTCAGCACATTATATACGCTCTAGTATCTCTATATAATGTTAAGTACATTTTTTTAACAGATCTTCCTTGCCTTTTTGAGTTATCAGACGTCCTGTTGCAGCGTAACTATTATGCAAAAGCAGACGATTTTTTTGAGGTACATATAGCAGTGAAGCTGAAAAAGAAGGTCTAATGTTTTCAAAAGGCACAGCAGACGTGCAAAAAAAACATGTACTTGACATTACAGGGATACTAGCTCCTACAATGTGCTGAAATTTCTTCTTTGCGGAAATCCATGAAGTTTCCCATATAAAAATATCGGATTTGTTTCATCGACATTGACATTGTTCGTAACATATATAAATATGATTTTTTTTACTAGACTATTAATAAAAATATTTTCAATATGTAATTGCAGAATATAAGCATTACAGAAATTCAGATGGGAATGAAATATTCTTTGGAGCAAGTTGTATCTAATCTATATGTTAATATTTGGAAATTTCGCTGTCCTTATTATAATGAATTTGATTTCTCACAAATACTGTTAAAAAGACATGTTGACCTCTTAAAACAGCAATTGAGCTGGTATAAAAATATTACATCAGATTCTAGTGATACTCAACGTAATCATTTGCATTTGTGTGCTCGTTATTTTGAAATTATTGAAATTGATATGAACGGCATAATTTCTGAATGTACAGATGAAAAAAAAACAAGGAATATGAAAATGATGCAAGAAAGGAATTGGTAAATAAAATTTCCAAACGAAAATTTATTTATGTACTTCTAATTTTATTTATTATAAATTGGGACCATTCACATAGTACAAATATTCACATAGTGCAAAATATATAGAAAAAGTATCACGCAGAGGGGAGGTGGATCTAAATACTCTGAATTACCTAAAATTTGTATCACAATGTGAATGATTCCTTTTGGAAAATCTAAAATTTTATTATTTTCTGAAATTATTTATTATTATTTCAAAAAAAAAGAAGTTTCTAGGGCTAAGGAGCCCTTTAAGGTACATTTTAAGTGTAACAATTTGTAGTAATAAAAATACATTAATTTTATAACTAAAAAACAAAATATTTTAAATTATATTTTAAAGATTTGTTATTCCCCAAGTACATAAGACAAAAATTTATCAAAGATTCATTGATGGAAATCATAAAACTTGAAATTTTTGTCAACAATTTATTATAATTTATATAGTACTATAACGGAATTTATAAGAAAAATTATTAAATTTTCGCAATATGTAATTACAGATTGAAATCTGGAATTATTTACACTCCCCTATTAATAATTCAAGCTCTGGAAAAGGCAATGAAACAGACTCTGGAATAAGCAATGGAACAGATTCTAGAAAAGCCAATTTTTGGTCAATTACTATCTATACATTAATGTCTACATTACTATCTACATTACTATCTACATGTAACACCATGTTATAATCGTAAGTTTAAAAAAATAAAAAAATTTCCAAGTTTATCAAAATGGAATTTTTTTATAATGAATAAGTTATTAAAAATTGTTTAAAAATCAATTTTTAGAATATCCATTCAATATACATATGATATACGACGAAAACGAAATATTGTCAAACAGATATGAACCTCTACAAAGTTCACGATTTCACTTCTCAATGAAATGACTTTAACTTAGAAAAATTCCAATAACTTTTATCTTCAGCAGTTTCTAAGGAGGCGGTATAGATTCTACACAAATAAACCCTACACGAGAAAATTGCGTACCGATAATTTTACAAAAAAAAAATCCTACACTTGGACAATAAGCAAAATAAAATTAATTAACAATTTTTTACTTTACACAATTAAATCAAACATAATTTTATTCTACACATTCAATTGCACACAGGAAAACCCTACAACGTTAACTATGAAAAAAAAAATTCTACACAATAATATGCGGAATAAAATTTAAAAACAAATAATAAAAATTCTAAACGATTTAATACTACAAAATATAACCGTACAAATTAAATTGCACTCAGGAAAACCCTACACGATTAACTCTGCACAAGAAGATTCTGCACCTTATAATAATAACCAGAATAAAATTCTAAAATAAAAAATTTATTTTTAATAATCCTACACGATAAATTGTACATAAAATAATTCTACACCACTAATTTTGCAAATAAAATTCTACAGTTAAATGCTAGACCTTTTAATCAATAAATTTTTAAATTCTACACAGTAAAGTTTTAAATGAAAAACTCTCCACGATTAATTAGAATTTTTTAGATTCTACACAGTTAATATGGCAACTCTATTAACATAAAAAAGAGTTGCCATATTGACTGTGTAGAATCTAGGGTTTTCCTGAGTGTAATTTAATTTGTACGGTTATATTTTGTAGTATTAAATCGTTTAGAATTTTTATTATTTGTTTTTAAATTTTATTCCGCATATTATTGTGTAGAATTTTTTTTTTCATAGTTAACGGTGTAGGGTTTTCCTGTGTGCAATTGAATGTGTAGAATAAAATTATGTTTGATTTAATTACACAGTAAACTTGGTTGTCTCTTTTTCTATTGCAACGTTTTGATGCACATAAGTTATATCAAAAAGAGATCATTTTGTGTATCATTTTTAGAAATGATACACGAAACGGTCTCATTTTTTGATGCAAAAAATTTAATCAATTTATATCAATCATGGCCGAATTGAATCGACTCAAAATTAAACGAATTTTTTTCAGATATTTTGGTAATAGTACAATTGCGGAGACCATTTCACTATTTAATTTGAAAATGAAAATAACAGAAAATCAAAGACAATGTGCAATTCGATAATTAAAAAGTGACAGCTTATAAACATAACCTAAAATGCATGAGAAAAAAATTGTCGATAAAATCAATATAGCCGAGCTTTTTAGAAGGTAGATGGCAGTTTTGCTTTTTATAAAAACGATTCAGAAAAAATTTAAAGAAAGAAAATAGATGAGTGCTGCCATCTACCTTCTAAAAAGCTCGGCTATATTGATTTTATCGACAATTTTTTTCTCATGCATTTTAGGTTATGTTTATAAGCTGTCACTTTTTAATTATCGAATTGCACATTGTCTTTGATTTTCTGTTATTTTCATTTTCAAATTAAATAGTGAAATGGTCTCCGCAATTGTACTATTACCAAAATATCTGAAAAAAATTCGTTTAATTTTGAGTCGATTCAATTCGGCCATGATTGATATAAATTGATTAAATTTTTTGCATCAAAAAATGAGACCGTTTCGTGTATCATTTCTAAAAATGATACACAAAATGATCTCTTTTTGATATAACTTATGTGCATCAAAACGTTGCAAAGATTTGATGCAATTTTTGGTCTCAATTTGAGACTTTTTGGAAAACTGTGTTGTGTAAAGTAAAAAATTGTTAATTAATTTAATTTTGCTTATTGTTTGAAAACAAAAGATGTCTTTAAGGCATCTCAAAGAAATCTAATAACGAAGACATTGAACATTCTTAGGACGTCTTGAAGATGTTTTTGTCACAAGTCCAAATGACATCCTTAGGATGTCTTTTGAACAAATGTGCCAACGATTAAAACAATTATTAAGGATTTTCGCAGTGATGGAACAAACTGTCGAAATATTAATATTAATTAAACAACAAAAAAATTAAATACATATAAATTAACTGCAATAAGTAAACAATATCAATGACAATTTCAGCCGAGCAATAAGCGTTATAGCAAGAGAGAAATGTGACGCTAGTTTTAATAAATTTTCATTTATTCGAATTATTATTTAATAGAATTTCCATATAACCATTTTTTAAAATACTACTACTACATTTTTAGTGAATTTTTGGTTATATAAAAATTCTGTAATATAGAAAATCGGTTCAATGAAAATCATTAATTTAATAAAATTCTATATTAAATAAAAATTCTAACAATTGATTTTTACAACTAATTCATGTATAAAAAAATTCCATTTTTATAAATTTGGAAAATATTTTAGTTCTTTAAACTTAAAATTATAACTTACTATGTTACTTTTATTTATAGGGGAGAGTGACAAACAGTGGGACACTTTTTTTTTCAAAGACATATTAATATGTCAATTTTATATATTTTTGAACACTATTTGGTATTACCATAAAGTTTGAACTCTTTTCTACACAATGCACATATTCTATTAAGATTATATTGTTAAATAAAAAAATTTGAAGTTTTTCAAACTTGATACATTTTTCTTGTTTTGAAAGTTTGTGTTTAACAGTGGGACACCTATTATTAAGAACCGAATAATTATTTCAATAATAATATTCTGCTTCATACTTTGTAAATATATATTTTTTGCATTAAATAACGTTAACAAATGTTGCAAAACACTCATAAATTAATAATATATTTTACATTTTTATAATACGATATCAAGTTTCATATAAAGAATTGCTATTCTTTTTTTTCACATTTACAGTATTGCTGATCATACGTCATAATTTGGTCATTACCTAAAAACAATTTGGAACAAAATTTGAATAGTCGTTCTCCTATCAAGTGTTACTTTTTAAATGTTTTCGAACAATAATTATTGTAATAATTATTAATTATAAATTTTGAATTTTTTATTGTTTTTTAGCATAAAAAAATCACATTTTTAGTCGCTGTGTAAGTATAAATGCGCATGCGTACAGCTGACACAACTTATAATCAGTGTCGTCAAAATCCACGTTTCATAAACTTCAATTTTTGCCTGTCCCAGTGTTGAATGTCCAACTGTTTTAATTAAGCAATAGCAAGAAATTATTTAAATAAAAGTTGTTTGTGAAATTTTTAATTATTTTAAAATATTGGATATTATAGGGGAGACTGGGGCAAACCGGCCATGTGGGTAATAATAATAATAAAGTACAAGGAATTTTTTTGTCTGTTCAAGCTCCTGTGCAAATATTCAGTGATTTAAAATTTTCTCCATAAACATTCTAGATATTTTCGGTCGCTGATGAAGGATTTGTATTAGGGTCAAAATTGACAAATTGTCAGTTTAAAGCTGTCAAAATTGAAAAATAGGTAAAAATTGTCATTTTTTTTGTCTATTCAGTGGTCTAGAGTACAGACAAATAGTTCAATTTTTTTCTGCACTTTTGGGTGTAATTTGTGCAAGAAATTGCAATAAAACAGTCAGTCTAAAAAAATTAAATTTTTTTTTGAAAAAGTTGCATTAAGGGTGGTAATAAAGGTCTTCCCCCACTTTCATCGGGCTGTCAATTATTTTCTACAGTTTTCGGTGTATTTTGTGCAAGAAATTGCAATGAAAAAGTCTGTCTAATAAAAATTAAATTTTTTTGTTTTTTTTTAAGGAGTCGCCTTAAGTAGAGAAAGACTCCTTTTACCACCCTTAAGAAACCCCTAAATTCCAAAAAAATTCAATTTTTCTTAGACAGACGATTTTATTGCAAATTCTTGCAAAAAATACACATAAAAGTGTAGAAAAAAATCGACAGCCAAAACCGAGTAGAGGAAGACCTCTATTACCACCAAAGAGTCATCCAGGTCCAAAAAAAAATTTCCAATAAAATTCAATTTTTCTTAGGCAGACGATTTTATTGTAAATTCTTGCAAAAAATACACCTACAAGTGTAGAAAAAAATCGACAGCCAAATCCGAGTAGAGGAAGACCTCTATTACCACCAAAAAGTCATCCACGACAAAAAAAAAATTTCCAATAAAATTCAATTTTTCTTAGGCGGACGATTTTATTGTAAATTCTTGCAAAAAATACACCTAAAAGTGTAGAAAAAAATCGACAGCCAAAACCGAGTAGAGGAAGACCTCTATTACCACCAAAAAGTCATCCGGGTCCAAAAAAAAATTTCCAAAAAAATTCAATTTTCCTTAGGCAGACGATTTTATTGTAAATTCTTGCAAAAAATACACCTAAAAGTGTAGAAAAAAATCGACAGCCAAATCCGAGTAGAGGAAGACCTCTATTACCACCAAAAAGTCATCCAGGTCCAAAAAAAATTTCCAAAAAAATTCAATTTTCCTTAGGCAGACGATTTTATTGTAAATTCTTGCAAAAAATACACCTAAAAGTGTAGAAAAAAATCGACAGCCAAATCCGAGTAGAGGAAGACCTCTATTACCACCAAAAAGTCACCCAGGTCCAAAAAAAAATTTCCAAGAAAATTCAATTTTCCTTAGGCAGACGATTTTATTGCATATTCTTGCACAAAATACACCTAAAAGTGTAGAAAAAAATCGACAGCCAAATCCGAGTAGAGGAAGACCTCTGTTACCACCAAAAAGTCATCCGGGTCCAAAAAAAAATTTCCAACAAAAATCAATTTTCCTTAGGCAGACGATTTTATTGTAAATTCTTGCAAAAAATACACCTAAAAGTGTAGAAAAAAATCGACAGCCAAATCCGAGTAGAGGAAGACCTCTATTACCACCAAAGAGTCATCCAGGTCCAAAAAAAAATTTCCAATAAAATTCAATTTTTCTTAGGCAGACGATTTTATTGTAAATTCTTTCAAAAAATACACCTAAAAGTGTAGAAAAAAATCGACAGCCAAATCCGATTAGAGGAAGACCTCTATTACCACCAAAGAGTCATCCAGGACAAAAAAAAAAATTTCCAATAAAATTCAATTTTTCTTAGGCAGACGATTTTATTGTAAATTCTTTCAAAAAATACACCTAAAAGTGTAGAAAAAAATCGACAGCCAAATCCGAGTAGAGGAAGACCTCTATTACCACCAAAAAGTCACCCAGGTCCAAAAAAAAATTTCCAAAAAAATTCAATTTTCCTTAGGCAGACGATTTTATTGTAAATTCTTGCAAAAAATACACCTAAAAGTGTAGAAAAAAATCGACAGCCAAATCCGAGTAGAGGAAGACCTCTATTACCACCAAAGAGTCATCCAGGTCCAAAAAAAAATTTCCAATAAAATTCAATTTTTCTTAGGCAGACGATTTTATTGTAAATTCTTGCAAAAAATACACCTAAAAGTGTAGAAAAAAATCGACAGCCAAAACCGAGAAGAGGAAGACCTCTATTACCACCAAAAAGTCATCCACGACAAAAAAAAAAATTTCCAATAAAATTCAATTTTTCTTAGGCAGACGATTTTATTGTAAATTCTTGCAAAAAATACACCTAAAAGTGTAGAAAAAAATCGACAGCCAAATCCGAGTAGAGGAAGACCTCTATTACCACCAAAAAGTCATCCAGGTCCAAAAAAAAATTTCCAAAAAAATTCAATTTTTCTTAGGCAGACGATTTTATTGTAAATTCTTGCAAAAAATACACCTAAAAGTGTAGAAAAAAATCGACAGCCAAATCCGAGTAGAGGAAGACCTCTATTACCACCAAAAAGTCATCCACGACAAAAAAAAAATTTCCAATAAAATTCAATTTTCCTTAGGCAGACGATTTTATTGCATATTCTTGCACAAAATACACCTAAAAGTGTAGAAAAAAATCGACAGCCAAATCCGAGTAGAGGAAGACCTCTATTACCACCAAAAAGTCATCCACGACAAAAAAAAAATTTCCAATAAAATTCAATTTTTCTTAGGCAGACGATTTTATTGTAAATTCTTGCAAAAAATACACCTAAAAGTGTAGAAAAAAATCGACAGCCAAATCCGAGTAGAGGAAGACCTCTATTACCACCAAAAAGTCATCCAGGTCCAAAAAAAAATTTCCAAGAAATTCAATTTTCCTTAGGCAGACGATTTTATTGTAAATTCTTGCAAAAAATACACCTAAAAGTGTAGAAAAAAATCGACAGCCAAATCCGAGTAGAGGAAGACCTCTATTACCACCAAAAAGTCATCCACGACAAAAAAAAAATTTCCAATAAAATTCAATTTTCCTTAGGCAGACGATTTTATTGCATATTCTTGCACAAAATACACCTAAAAGTGTAGAAAAAAATCGACAGCCAAATCCGAGTAGAGGAAGACCTCTATTACCACCAAAAAGTCATCCACGACAAAAAAAAAAATTTCCAATAAAATTCAATTTTTCTTAGGCAGACGATTTTATTGTAAATTCTTGCAAAAAATACACCTAAAAGTGTAGAAAAAAATCGACAGCCAAATCCGAGTAGAGGAAGACCTCTATTACCACCAAAAAGTCATCCAGGTCCAAAAAAAAATTTCCAATAAAATTCAATTTTTCTTAGGCAGACGATTTTATTGTAAATTCTTGCAAAAAATACACCTAAAAGTGTAGAAAAAAATCGACAGCCAAATCCGAGTAGAGGAAGACCTCTATTACCACCAAAAAGTCATCCACGACAAAAAAAAAATTTCCAATAAAATTCAATTTTCCTTAGGCAGACGATTTTATTGCATATTCTTGCACAAAATACACCTAAAAGTGTAGAAAAAAATCGACAGCCAAATCCGAGTAGAGGAAGACCTCTATTACCACCAAAAAGTCATCCACGACAAAAAAAAAATTTCCAATAAAATTCAATTTTTCTTAGGCAGACGATTTTATTGTAAATTCTTGCAAAAAATACACCTAAAAGTGTAGAAAAAAATCGACAGCCAAAACCGAGTAGAGGAAGACCTCTATTACCACCAAAAAGTCATCCAGGTCCAAAAAAAAATTTCCAAAAAAATTCAATTTTCCTTAGGCAGACGATTTTATTGTAAATTCTTGCAAAAAATACACCTAAAAGTGTAGAAAAAAATCGACAGCCAAATCCGAGTAGAGGAAGACCTCTATTACCACCAAAAAGTCATCCACGACAAAAAAAAAATTTCCAATAAAATTCAATTTTCCTTAGGCAGACGATTTTATTGCATATTCTTGCACAAAATACACCTAAAAGTGTAGAAAAAAATCGACAGCCAAATCCGAGTAGAGGAAGACCTCTATTACCACCAAAAAGTCATCCACGACAAAAAAAAAATTTCCAATAAAATTCAATTTTTCTTAGGCAGACGATTTTATTGTAAATTCTTGCAAAAAATACACCTAAAAGTGTAGAAAAAAATCGACAGCCAAATCCGAGTAGAGGAAGACCTCTATTACCACCAAAAAGTCATCCAGGTCCAAAAAAAAATTTCCAAAAAAATTCAATTTTCCTTAGGCAGACGATTTTATTGTAAATTCTTGCAAAAAATACACCTAAAAGTGTAGAAAAAAATCGACAGCCAAATCCGAGTAGAGGAAGACCTCTATTACCACCAAAAAGTCATCCAGGTCCAAAAAAAAAT